CTGAATCATTGATTATGAAACTTGAATGTATACAGAATGAAGCCATGAGGGTATTTTGGGGTGCACAAGAGATACCACAATAGTATAAATGTGATATATACTTGCACTGTCGACTATTACAGATAAGCTCAAAGTGCTGCAAGCTATCATATATCAGAGTAGCTGCAGATAAGAAACACCTCCTGCATGAATCCCTAGATAGAGCTAAGGGTCTCAGACTGAAAAGAGGAAGGTCTTAAATGGTGCAAGCTGAAAATACAATTAGACGTGCGCAGGCTTGATAACACTGGACGAGGAGAGGACTGGGTTAGAATGTCCCGTAAAAGTCAGACTTGTGTAGGGTTCTGACCACACTGGACCGTGATTGCAAGGACTGGCCAGCGGGCTCTGCAGTATCAGAAGTTCAACAATTGATTCATGAAAATTCTTGCCCAGGGTATGTGATTATCTAGTTTGACAAAGGAGGTGGGGTCAGTCACTGCAGCCTTTTGTTGGATTCAGAACCAGCTGCACACACATGTTATAACTGTAACAGACTCCCAGAGCATGTTGAGAAAGGTTGAGACCAGTATGCTCCATGAATTTTGAAATTCCGTTGAATTAAGAATCAACATCACAGCACTTGGGAAACTCCCATAAGCACTCCGTCCCCATCTTCAGCAGCAAGCTGCTCTGTGAAGAGTAGCAAGCAACACTTCAGAGGTCTCAGGCGGTTGGTGTCCTTTGGATATTTTCCCCAGGTCATGGCGGTGTATTAGGAGATAGACAGGCAGATTGACTGGCTAGTTCTGCACAACTTGGTGTGTAAGCACAGATAGAACATCATGGTCTGAACAAAATGGCGCTGCAAGAAGTGACCAGGGGATTGGGTCGACGATGATCACACAAGGGAAAGATGAGACATATAAACAATCAGACTGCTATTGGTACCATTGCTTTGAATTGAAACTTTCTGCACTTGCTGCTGAAGATGGGGACAAAGCACTTAAGGGAATGTCCAGAGTGCTGCGATGTTGATTCTTAATTAAACATTAAACTCCACAGAAAAAATCTTTCATAAAAAATGTGGCTGTATTCGGCTTTTTCATTCCCCCCATTGAGCTTTCTAGTGACATTTTATCTTGTTTTTAGTATTTCTTGTCATCCGCTCGTCTGCAGACACTGCATTGTTATTTAAAAGGTCATCATCTCATCTTGATCCTCTGGTACCCTGCAGTGTGGAGTTAAGAGTAAAATTTATGGGAAAGTTCTCATCTTTGCGCTTCCTAAATGGGGATTCCCAGGGACTCTGTTATTTTTCCTCTGTCCATGATTTGCATGGTAGGCCTCTTCTTCACTTTCCACCTGGTCTGTACATCAATGCTCTCTGCTGTATACCATTTGCTGACATTCACATTACATGGCCAAACCATTTTACCTGTTGTCTTCTAATGAAATCAAGAGCTGTCGCTACCCCCATTCTCCTTCGGATTTTAAGAGCCCTTGATAAAAATATAATTTCAATTGTAATTGTTCTTTTCTTCTTTTCCATCACTTTCCAGGCCTGGCATTAATAGCACAGGGTTGGCTAGAAGATTGTGTCCTAGAGTGCTCCCTAGAGTGCTCTTTTGGTTTCTACTGAAAGGTGATTGTTTCTTAGTACTGGTGCCATTTGCCCAAAGAGTTGGGTTGCTCTGTTACATCTGCCATCAATCTCATCTTCTTTTTTGCCGGCTGATGATATTATGTTTCCTAAGCATTTGCAGTTTTTGGTTTGTTTCAGAGGGTTTTCTGGATATTTATTGTTTTGTCTACTTTGGCTATGGTCATGATCTATGTTTTGTTGGCATTAACTTTCATGTTATGCTCTTTGCAAATTTGGGTTAAATCATGTATATGCTCTTGCAGTTCTGTTTCTGAAGTAGCAGTTAGTGCTTGGTCATCCATAAACAGTAGTTCTTTGATGGAACTGTTTAGACATGGATTTTCTCCTCCTTCATATAAATAGTCCTTGTCTGCATTGTTTGTTTACAGATGTTATCAATAAAAAATAAGAAGACTAATGGAGGTAGGACACAGCCATTCCAAACTCCACATTTTATGAAGAATTGTTCTGAGTGTCCTCCTTTTGTTCCGACAGTACATGCACTGTTGTTATACAAGCTTTTATCTATGTTTATTATATGCGTGTTCACACCGCAACTGTTTAAGATTCTCCGTAGTTTGTTTCTATCTAATCTGTCAAATGTCTTGTCTCGATCAAGAATGCTAGATAGAGTATTTCATTAAATTCAACTGATTTCTCTATAAGTTGTCTAAGAGCGAAGATGGTGTCGATTCATCCCATGTTTTTCTGAAATCCTAGTTGCGCTTCACTTGATGGGTTCATTAATAGGTCTAGAATTTTGCAGAATATTTTCACAGTACGACTCAAAAGGGAGCTGCCTCTGTACTTTGTGTGGTCTCTTTTACTGCCTTTGTTCTAGTATTATTGTGTAAATTGTTATCTTGCATAACATGGGCCTAAGAGTGCTAGTGTTGTTTTAAATCTTAAACAGGGGAAACTATTCACACACACACAAAACAGATTAAAGACACTGAATGTCTTGTTCTGTAAATGTAATGTTTTATATGTAATTATTCTTTCTGATGTAAAACACTAGTTTATTTTCAATTCAGTAGAGCTTGGGAGTTTGTATGTACTTTGGCAGTACCAACTTGCACATGGCTCAGATATTTACCAGCCATCAACAGATTTAATTTTTATCTAGGGATACCAGCACTAAAATTCAGATTTATGATACTGGTTTTGTGGCAAACAAAGCTTGTTACTTGTTACTTGGTGTCTGTATCAACAGCCCAACACATCAGCCTGACCCCTTCATGCTCCATACTCTGATGCAGCAACGATCTCAGTGTCTCTGTGCTCAACAGATCCAGCAAAAGTTGACCGGCATATCTTCTTTCTTTGCCCTGCAACTGGTTTCTACACGCTTGCCCTTGTTTTATATTCATTTCCAACATGATGGTCTCTGATTCCTTCAGCTTAGTCTCTAGAACACAGCCCATTTAGTATGTCTGCCCTGCCATAATTTTTCCTCCAACCAACCAATGCAGATATGGCTATTCCCCCAGCTCTTTCACTTTAACCTCAGTGTGTCCTGGTGTGTACAGCAAGAAAGTTTCTTGAGGTGGGACTTCTGGATACTGTCACCAATTCTAGTCAAAGTTTGCCATTTCAGATCTTTTTAAGAATGTTCAATGAGTTAGTTAGTTAGCCTTTCCTCTTGGGCCTAGGGCGGTGCACAGAGCAGAGGTCATAGCTCTCCATGTTTGGCAGTTTGTTGTCACCTGTTTTAGGTCTTGGATGTTTGTTAGGCCCATGGTTGAGGCTTCCCTGATAATTGTTCTACGTAGAGTCTCTCTTGGTCTTCCCCGTTTTAAAAGGGGGGGGGGGGGGGAGGGGGGTGCGCGTGAGGAAGTTGCATTGGGGCATCAAGCAGTTTTGAAAATGAGTGGGTCTGGACCCATCATCCGTTAAAGTAACAGTTTTTAAAATAGTTTAATCATATATAAAATATCTGTTAAACGATTTCAAAATTAACAGTCCAAGACCCTTTTGTTTTCATGAGCAGTTTGCACATTTACTGTTCAAATTCTAATTAATATGATTAAATGTGCATTTACGTATAGTTAAAAACACATGTCCCTATTGTCATGTCTCAAGGAGTGTGTGCTGGGTTTTTGCCATATACTCAAGTATGGTGTGGCGGTCTTGCCATATACTCAAGGAAGGGAGGGGGTTATCATATATACTCCCCAAAAAGAGTGGGGGGCGTGTGGGTCTTGTCAGATACTCAAGAAAAAGGAGGATCTTGTTATACATCCAAGGGTGGAGTGTGAATATTGCTATATACTCAAGGGGGGGAGAGCGTGGGGGTCTTGCCATTTACTGAAGAGGCTGTAGGGGTCTTGCCAAAAAATACTCAAAGGGAGGTGGGAGGGGGAGGGGGGAGGGTTGACCATATCCTCAAGGGGTGCCACCTGAAAAAGACTGGAGACCACTGGTATACTGGGTCAAATCACCCGGCTAAGTGTGCTCATGGATGAGAGCCCTTATTTCAACATCAGCTTCTGCTTGGCTCCATTCCCTGCCCAGGGTGATAATTATCTCAATGTGCTTCTGCAATTGTTCTGGTGTTTCTATCTATTCAGCACTGAGCCTTATATGTACCAATGTAGTCAGTTAGCACTTGTACCTACTCTCTGCCAGGTTTTAATGCTTACAGTAACACACCTGTTAGGAAATGTCTTTTACTTGCCTCATTTATGAATTTCATATTTTTCACCAGCTGCCAGTTTTTTTTTCTAATCCCACTGTGCAGTGGGCGTTGTGCATCAGCACTGACTCAGTGGTAGGTATATGCTCAGCAAATATGCATTCTGTCCTCTATGTTTGGAAAATCACGAAAGTAAAACGCTAATATATGACACGTTTCCTATCAGAACTAGTTTTTGAGCTACAATTTCTTTTCCGTAACAAAATAATAAATATTTCCATGGTACATCTCATGTTTTTGGGCCCAGAAAGAAAATGACCCCTTCCATTCATAAATTGCTGTGTCGCACGGCTTGTGCTATGTTGAGGAGGGTCAACAACACGTAGCATTTTACTAGTTGTTGTAACCGGCCAGCGATATCGTGTGTTCTATATTACAGGATGTGAGCGCTTTTTACACTGTAAATATGCAGAAATGGACCTAACCCCCCCCCCCCCCCATGTACCACAAGAGAGTGCAGTCTACGTCCCATGACTGTACATAACCTAGGTTGCATGACTGTATGCTGTGTAGCGTGACACCCCCGCAACATAAGACAAGCTATGCGACGCAGCGATTTATGAATGAGAAGGGAAGTCACTCTCTTTCTGGGCCCGAAAACGTGAGTTGTAATGTTACTGTATATACAAAATGCTAAACAGTGACCAATACATTGAGTGACAATGGACAAAAACAGCTTACTTATACTTTTCCCAGGGTAAAGCAGATACTTGGGGTAGCCTGGGATGAATAGCTCCTCTTCAGAGGCCCTGATACTTTCAATTGCTTTGAATATTACTCTCTGTTTTTCAGCCATGGTCAAAAAGTTGGTAAGATCATCTGTTTGCATAAATGTAAATGTAAACATACAGTAAATTAACTATTTTACTTTCAAATATGTCTGCTGTAGGTTCTGATAGTTCTTCTGTACATAAAAAAAAAAGAATATCCACATCATACGATTCCTTTTAAAGTTCTTAGCAAACAAAAGAGAACTACCCTTAGCTGCACTCCTAATTTCTTCATGACTAAGGAGAACACAAATAATATTTCTAGCCTACTATTTTCAGTGGAATGAATGACTGGGTTCTGAAAATTACCCAGTATTATCCCCCAAAAAAACTTGGTGGGGGGGGGGGGGGGGGGTTTGGTGGGAAGATAAGCATTTCAGCATGTTCCTAGTCAACATGCCACTTGATCATGACTACACAACAGTCCACTAATTCTGTGAATTTTCTGGACATTAAGTTCTTCTTCTTCTTCTGCGTTCGACATCAGTCATGCTAAACACTGAGTCCCGTCTGGGTCACAAATAGGATTGTGCGTTTAAGGTCGCCACCGGTCCCCCATAGCTTCTCTTTCAATGTGGCTCCCTAGGGCCAGATCCACAGTCTTTGCTGGGAGAGGTAAGGGCAGTACTGTAGTATGTGCCCAGGGGTCTGTCTTTCTGCTCCACAATCACAGGCAGCAGATTCTGTTATGCCTATCCTGTACAGGTGTGCTCAAAGACCACAGTGTCCAGTCCGAAGTCTAAAAATTGTTGTTTGTTCTTTCCTGTTGAGTTTGTTTATGCTGTCACTCTCTGGTCTGTAATCTCCATTCTGCCTTCTCCACTCCCGCTTGAAAGACTGCTTTAGCGCTGTTTTGGTTTCCTTGTAGCTGTGTGGTGGATGAGGTTGTGGAAGATTACTCCCAGCTTTTGCCAACTCATCTGCTCTCTCATTTCCTTTAATACCACAGTGGGCTGGTATCCACTGCAAGACCAGTTCTGCTTCCTTGGAGAGTAAGCCAATGTTGGTCCTTAGATCTGCAATTAGTTTGTCTTGTTTTTTGCTTAATAGTGCTTGGAGAACAGACAATGAGTCACTAAGTATAACAATTTTGTGCCCTCTGTGTTCTTGATTGATGAGATGTTGGACTGCAGAAAGGAGGGCAGTTGCCTTAGCTCTGAAGTTAGTGCAGATGTCACCTGCTGGTAGAGAGAGAGTTTCTGCTCTACTGCTAGGGGGTTTAATGTATATTCCACAACGCCCCTTTCTGACTGCATCTGTAGCAGAGCCGTCGGTGAAAACCTGAGTCCAAGTGGTGTTTGGATACTTCTCATCAAGCATAGTAAGAGCCAGGGTTCTTTGTTGAGTCTCCGTCTGGGCATCTTTTCAAGTGATCCCTGGTACCTTTAGGACTACATTTGCCTTATTTGGCTTGCTTGTCCATGGTTCTGGCCTAAGTTTTTCGCACAGTGCTACATCTCTTTCAAGCAGATCTCGGTGCTGTCTGTACAGTTCTCTAGCAAGGTGGTTGGGGCTCTGACGCTTCAGTCTGTTTTTTGTTCTCTCTTGAAATTTAAAATGCAGTGGGTGACTTTCAAGTCTTTTCAATTTCTCATACTGTAAAAGAGTTTTGTATTGTCTTCTGAGTCAGAGTGGTTCAGTAACTGCTATCCTCTCTATCTCTCTGATGGAGGGGTTTTCATGGCTCCGAGAACAATCCTTAATCCCATATTCTGAACCTTGTCCAGTTTTCCCATTGTTGTCTTGGCTGCTGCAGCCCATGCAGTGGAGGCATATTCCATGACTGGCCTGACTGCTCCAGTATATACTTGTTTTAGGATTCTGGAGTTAGTGCCCCATGTGGTACCCGCTAATTATTTCATCACTGCAAGCTTCTTGAATGCTTTCCCCTGTACTGCTTATACGTGTGACTTCCAAGCTAGTTGCGAATCAAGTGTAACGCCAAGAAAGGTAGGAGTGGAAAGGTGTGTGGAATGAGCTGGTTTTTTTATCCAAATTTTTCTTTTTTTCTTTTTTGGGGAGAGAGAGAAAAGTGATGCTGTGCTTTTTGAATTATTTAGCTTAAGACCCCACTTTTCGGTCCAGGCTTCTACATTTTCCAGTTTTCTGTGACAGATATGAGGCTGTGGTAGTGTATTCGGAGGCTGTCCAAACTGCAAAGTCATCAGCATGTAGGGTATTATAAACGTGCTGGTGGCAGGTTGCTGTGATATCATTTATGTAAACCAGGGACAGATTTGGTACTATCGCACTGCCCTGGGGAACTCCTTCTCTTAGTTTTGCCAATGTGTCCATCAATTCTGAATCTTGCTCTGCATTGGAAAAGAAAGAATTTGATCCACATGTACATGTTGTGCATAACTCCTGCCTGTAGCAGTTTTAGTTGTAATCCTTCTTTTTAAACTGTATTGAAAGCACGAGAAAGGTCAAAGAAGACAGCAAGAACTTTCTTTTTCTCCTGGAAGGCATTCTCTATTTCCTGTGCCAGATATGTCAACTGGTCCTCTGTGTTTCTGTTCTATCTGTATCCTGTCTGTGTGGTGGTGATTACAGAGTTTGTCTCCAAGAACCACATTAGTCTTCTATTTACTAATTTCTCCATCAATTTTCCTACACAACTAAGAAGGCTGATGGGTCTGTAGCTTTTTGGGTCTCTTCTGTCTCCACCCTTTTTAAGGATAGGCTGGATGAGAGCTTTCTTCCAGGCTGATGGTACCACACCTTTTTGCCAGCTCTGGTTGTAAATGCAGAGAAGAAACTTCTTGGCAGCAGGTCCAAGATGGGGGAGAAATTCGTTTGTAATGCCGTCAGCCCCTGGGGCTTTCTTCATTTTCAACTCTCCAATTCCAACTTCCAGCTCTTGCATAGTAAACTTTTCTGACATGCATGCCTCTTTTGTTTTTGTGCTAGAGTCTGCTAGAAGAGTCTTGGTCTGGTTTCGTACTTCTTTTATTCTTTGCATGGGAATATGAACCTCAGTTTTCTTTTGGTGTGTTTCAGCTAGCACATCAGCTGCTACCTTGCCAGTAACAGCTCCATTGTCTGTTAGGAGTACAACTCTGGCTTTTTCTGTCTTGTCTCCATTCAGGCTTTTTGTGAGATTCCACAGACGTGAAGTGTCCTTCTCGAGGTTAAATGACGCCGTCTTTTTGTGCCAGCTTTCCCTCATCTGATTATTTCTCTCTTTGATGAAGGCTACTTTTGCTCTGTTATGAAGTATTACATTTTTATCTGTCCGATCCTTCTCCATATTTTCCTTCCTGGTACTAAGTTTGGAATGCAGAGTGTCCAGTTCAGGCGACCAGTAAGGTTTACAGTTTTTCCTGCTGCCTCGTGGTATGTTACCCTTGGCTGCATTTAGAATAGTTGTGTTGAGGATCTTCAGTTTGGCATTTATTTCCAGTCTTCTGAAGAAGGCTCTCTTCAACATGTCATCCAACTGGGAAGTGAAAAGACTCCAGTTAGCCTTCTTGTAGTTCCATCTGGGAGGGTTCTTTACTTTAGTAACCTCTCTACTTTTGTTAATAGACAGGATTACGGGCCTGTGATCACTGCCTCACAGCTGTTGACATACATCCCGGCTGATAACTTTCTCCACATCTTCAGTTTCTATATCCAAGTCTGGAGTGCTGGTTTTCCTCCAAGCTCGAGAGTAGAATGTGTCTGGGTCATCACGATGATTTATCAGAACTAGAGTGTTGCTGATTATCCAGTTTTCTACCTCTTCTCCTTTTGCACTGAGGTCTGTGTAGCCCCAGTTAGGTGAGTGGCTATTTAGAACTCTGACAGCAATCCAGTTTTCTGTGTTTAGTTGGATGGGTCCCAGATAAATATCTCTGTTTGGTGGTGAGTAGATTTTGCATACTGTCACGTCTCCCCTTGCACCCTTGATAGTGACTGTGATAAACTCTGTATCCCCACACTGAGATCTCTGGGTTTCCCAAGCTGTGATCGTGTTCTTGACAGCAGTCAAGACTCCTCCTTTTGGACGTTTTAAACTGTCGTGTCGGAAGATTTGGTATCCCCTGATAGAGAATCTATGTGCACTTGTGAGGTGAGTCTCTTGGATGCAGCATATGTCAATATCGTGCTGCTTCAAGAAATTTTGTAGTTCAGTTTTCTTCAGCCTCACTCCCTCAGCATTCCAGTGCATAATCGTCAGTTTGTGTCCATTTGCGTTACTCTGTTCTTTCCTGGTCACTCCAGAAGATTCAGAGGTTAAACATCGACATTCATTTATTAATGACTACTGCCTATCTAAAAACCATGAATTATCATAGTTATTGTCTGTAAACATCTTCTCACTCATTCTCCTGCCAAAATTCTAAACCATATTCTCAACTTCATAAACTATGCAGATTGCGCTCTAATGACTGATTTCTTAAGCAATGAACATAAATGTCCTTATTTGTGTCTGTGCCTGCCTTCAACCTGAACACACCCTCCTGGGTTTTAAAAAAAAAAGTTAAATTTGATGAGACATATAACTCAAATACTTCTCAAGATCATTTAAGAAAGAATTAAAAGTAAAATAAATTATGAAGTTTCTGATGAAGAGTATGGATTTAAGAAAAATAGTTACACTAGGGAAGCCATAATTTGTTTAAAGATGCTGACTGAAAAATATATATAAGTCCAGAAATACATTTATGCATGTTTCATAGATTATAAGAAAGCCTTCGACAGAGTGCAACATGAAAAGTTAACTGCACGCCTCCAAAATATAGGATTACATGGAAAGGATATCAGCATTCTTAGTAACCTAAACTGGGAACAAATAGCAACAGTTAGACACAACAACAACAGTCTGTCAGGGACGTGTGTTACCTCAAAGTCTTTTCAACTTATATACAGAAAACATTTTTAAACAGGTTAAGGAACTGCCTGGACTGAGTCCCAGTGAACGCACCACGTGCTAATTTGTTAAAACCACCTGGCCCAATAAATGCGAGACAAGTGAAGGTTTTTAATTTACCTCTGACCGGTAATAAAACATGGACCGCTCAATTTCAACTACTTTTCGAGTTCTTTGTAGCTGATATCAGGCGT